TTGAACTTTTTTTACCTTCTATATTGTGTGCATTTTTTTTTTTGTAGTTCAAAAAATTTCACTTAGATTTGTAATTTTATAATATCTTGCTATTTTGATCTTTCTTAATTATATATTTTAACAATTTAGATTAAATTTTTACAAATAATATTTTTCTATTAAATTTTAAATATTTTGTATTTATGAGAGAGAGAGATAGCAGAAAATAAATAAAAAATAAATAAATAGAACAGAAAGCATAAGAGTTAAATGTAAGATATGATTAATTGGCTCTCAAGGGAACAAGTCCTGTCATTACAAGCTGGAAATACTTCTTTTGACTCCTAAATGTTTTGCTTCATACATTATTTCCAAATCTTCATCGTAAATTCTTTTTTTTTTTTTTCAAATATACAAACTTATATATTTACTTATATTAAAAGAATTAAAATATTTGTATTATATTGAATTAAAAATATTTTGAAAATTTAAATTAATTACAAATTAGATGTCCTTAATTTTTATGTGATCATGGAAATGAAATGATTCAAATGAACAAGTATTCAAGTTTCAAGTGTGCGAGTGTATGTATCTATTTTGTTTGAGTTAAAGTTTGACATGTACTAAATATACTTAATATTTATACTTACAAATATGTATATTTTTATAATAATGAATTTAATGTAATAAAAAAAAAATTGGGTGGTTCATTTAATTTTGTTTAATAAATTAAAGTCAATGGAGAATCTTGGCATTGAAGAAGCCAATTCTACAGCTAATGTTGGTATATTTAATTTAATTGGGAAGTTTGGGGGACCTCTTTTCTTTTAAAGGCCTTACAAAAGCCTAGTAGATTTTGAATGCTTTTATATTCTCTTCTTCTGCCTAAAATAAATGTAGAGAAAGAAAGAGAATCTTTTTATCACTTGTATATTATAATATATTTACTTATCATATTATACATATTACCAAAGTATGAATAATGGGTTTCTCTAATATATTTAAATTTTTTTTAAAGTATATTTAAATTTATTAATTTTTATTAAAATAAGTATCGGTATCGAACTATTTATAGATAATAAAATCAAATTTAGTGAAGTATTATCATTTGATACATTTAAGTAAGTAAATCGTACGCACAAAAAAAAAAAAAAAACTCTTCAGATATAGTAAATAATTAATTTTCAATTTGTAGATTAGTTTTAAGATTTGATTCTTGAAAACGAGATTGTAAAAATTTTGTTTATAAATTTTCTAATTTTTGAACAAATCACATATCATCAATTGAATCAATAATAATAATAATATATTGTTGATAATAAAGCAAAAGAGAAAGTAGTGAGTTTTAGGTTAAATGAAGTGTATGGTGACTGTTGCCATACGTATAGGATTCATCATTGATATTCTTCTTATCAATCAAAAAGACATTCTCTAACTTATTATTCCTTTTGGATGCATATGGTTTTGATAAGCAACTATTTCCTCCACGTGGGTGGGTGTTCAATTACTTTTGTTTATTGATTCCAAATTTGTTTATTATTACTTTTAAATATATTTTATTCAAATATACAATATGTTTTAGTGATAACTATATTCTAATTATATATTTGTGAGAATTTTAAATAAAATATTTAAGAAACGAGCTTACCAAGTTCTCAGATTTTTTTTTTTTCAAATGAGAGTTTAAATTTCTTCGATCTAAGCTTTTAACTAAAAACTTTACTGGGACCATTCAAATTCGAAGTCTATTCTTTAAATGAAATGGACTCCAACCATGCATGCATGTATGTATGTACATACTGATTCTTTTTGTTTATTTTTTAGTTTTCTTGTAACTTGTATTTATGCGAACAAGATTCTCAAGTTTCAAATCAATAGAAAGAAAGGTGGGATGTGAGCTACTAATGCTGCTAATGGTCATTATCAATGGCCTGCTTTAAATCTAGATAGAAGAACCCATTTTAACATACAGGGAAATGGGGAATCCAGTTGACCCTTGATTTACGTTATCAATTTTTGACATATCAAGGGAAAAACATAAAAAAAAAAAAAAAAAAAAAAAAAAAAAGGAAAGAAAGTGGAAGCTATTAATTACATCATTTGTGAAAAAACTTTACCAATTAAAAGATCACGTCGCTCCTTTTAAGCACAAAAACAGCAATAGAGTGTTTCAGATTTGTAATTAAAGATTCAACTCAAACTTAAAAAAAACAATTTAGATTTAGATTGAACCAATTTGATTGGATTCATTCAGTCAGATCATTGTAATCAAAAGCTTGGATTTAAACCAAAAAGGGAGATGAAACTTCTTTTCTGACTCGATCCAGTTTCCGGATCCTCACCAAATTATGAACAGCATCATATAAAAACATCAAACTTTCATTTGATTGAGAGAGATTTAGGCCTAATTTACCTTTGATGTGGTGAGAATCCAAGTGTGGCCCTTCACACGGCATATTGGATAGCATGTCATCTCATAGAAATCGTGATTCTCTCTCCCTCTATCTTCTATGTGTATATTTATACGTATATATTTGTCTTTCCCTAAGGCTAAGAAGAAGCCAAAGATGGGAAACAGACACCTCTAATAAACTAAAGGTAAACCTTATCCGGAGGAGGGGCCAAAACAGTGACTCTGGAAATGAGCTTTTCGAAAAGGACAGACCCATAAACTGTTTCATTCCTACAAAATCTAAAATGGTAACAAGCGCCAATCACACAGTTGCATTACATGCCAGTTGTTTCAAGAATATGTGATAGAAGAATGTCACAGTCCAAGACAAATTTAGACCTCAAGGTTATTGTATATGACATTGACATCAAATAAAAATGGTGTTCATGACATGCTTCTCGGCCCCATTAACATGGGACAATTCAACTGCATAACACTCCAAAAACAATTACGCCGTGTTTGGACAAATACAAAAATTTAATATAATTCATTTATGTCTACATTTATTCAACTGGAAAAGGATATAAATGCTAAGAGAAGATATTAATTCTACCAGAATATAAAACGTTGAACTCATTTTATACTTTTATATGGAATTAAAGTAAAACTTCCGTCAATTTTGTAAGAAATATTATTCCAATACCATGTAGATCTATCTCCTCTGAAATCAATTTTTACCATTTTACTGAATCTTCTGGTTTAATAAAGGATGGAAGTTAATGAAATTTTAATTTCATTGTTCCACCGATCATTCCAATTCCAGAGTTCCTGATGACTTCAAATTTTATTATTTTAAAGAGTATATTCACTTTTTTCTAGTTAACCTAATTGTGTATTTGCAAAATAAATTCCATTACATTTTTAGATTTGTCAAAACATAGCCTAAAAAGACAAACATGCTGATAACAGAAACGATTAAAAACAGGTACCATTTTCTGTCAAATCTATGTACCGTACCTATAATTCACCATGAAAAAAGAAACCAACAAATGACCCAAAAACAACCTGTGAACAGAAAGTACATATGGGAGGACGTTTGGTTAAAAGCTAACAAACCTTACAGCTTCTCCTACAGTACCCGGGAAGTTCTGGAGATCCCACCATGTACTCTGGATTCTTGGTACATTCACCAAGTGCAGCCCATCTCTCGCAACTTCCATTCAGATCTGTGCAGTTCCCACCAGCTGCCAAGTTCTTATCAAACGAGTCTACATGAATCCATTTAGTTGCTGACCATTTCTCACCTTCAATAACAGGGCAACCAGCATGCAGACTGCTGGTGTCTGGCGTTGCATTTGGGAGAAGGCTGAAGAAGAGAAGAGCATCTCCTCTTCGAGGTTTGACTAAGTATTTTCAAGGAGGGCATAGAAAATAAAAAACACATGTCAAGTTCTTACTTTATTAAATCTAGATTTGTGGAAAAACTTTCAAAAATTTTCCATTGCTCACCAGCAATTCCTTTCTTTGCACATTCGGAAAGGTCATCATTTTCCACAGGAGCTTTACGATGTGAAGTTTCCTGCTAGCAAAATCATATCCGAAGTAAGATTATCAAGTAGGATACCGGTAACTATCACCTTCAGTTCCTTCCTTTTACATCAGTTTAATCATCGAAAATAACAGGATTATGTAACAGCCAATAAATAATAACAGTCCAATCCATCAGAACTACAGAACTGAGCCAGAATGTTTATCAGGGGCTTAAAATTGAAGGAAAATAATAAATGCAGGGTTACTGTAAAACAAAAAGTAATTAAAAGGAGACTGGAGAGCATTTATGCATAGCAATATGCAACTACATCTAAAAAGTCTAATAAAATGAATGATTCAAACAAACCTCTGCTGATGGGAAAACAGTTTCGCCACCTTTTGCCACATCAGTGAGATACATGAGAACAGTTGCTACACGGTGTCCCCCACGAGCAATATTGACTTTATCAACAAAATAATCATAATGTGGGTCGTACTTCTGCCCGTGCTCATATCTGAGAACCTGTATGTCTTCCCCATTTTCTGGCAACAAATAACATATAATCACACTGTACTTCATTTTAATATATCTAAATAACAAAATTCAAACATCTATATGTCCAATTAAAAGCATTGAGACATGTCAAGTCTTAGTAAATAAATCTACCTATGGCACAAAGCTAACTC